CGTGGTCTCGAGGGTCACGTTCAACACTCAAGTGTCGGCTCACATGCGCCTTGAGGGGTCAATCTCTAGACGGTAGTCAACCGCGAAGGCAATTGAGAACCACACCCTCTTCTGCACCCTGCGGAGAGTGGGTGGTAGATAGTCTCGGACCTGTTGTGGCAGTCGGCGCTTATCGCCTTGGAGACGAGCTCCATCACTCAGGGCTTGGCAAGAAGTGAAGGGGTTTGACTTTGACGGCTGCCATGGACATCAACATCCAACTATAAAAAATTCCAAAAGCAAAGGCAAACGAGGGATCTCTCTTTTTTCTCAAGCCAAATTCGCTCGATTCTTACGCACAGTCAATGGAGACTATCACTTCTCACAATCATAGTGTGGCTTCCTTCAAAAAAATATATACGTGATCGCATGCAATTCAATTACATAGTCCGAACCACAATCATACATGCAATCACATTAGAGATTCAACCAAAAGTTCACCCACTACAGGGGTTAACTTCAACCACTCTCTGCTCTCACACCCCTCGCTTTAGCCAAACCATCCTCAACCTTTGTCCAACCTTTCATAATAAAATAACTAGTATCTTTGTTAAGTGATTATTCAATAAAGTCCCGGTGAAACCCACCGAAACATATCAAACCACAGGGGCTTAAGCCTTTAGGTTGAGTGGCGAGGAGTTATTAAGTTGTAAATTGACGGGAACTGACTTGTTATCAGTGATAATAGATGATGATTCTTGTGGGATCAGATGAAACAAGTCCAATCCTGAATGGATCGAAGAGGACTTGTAACACATGGCAAACCAATTCCCAGGATTAAATTATAAGTGAATGGAGAATAATCCTTCATATCATATTTAACTCAAATCATATTTAGGTATGAATCCACCTCTAAGCGGGTGCCCAGGGAAAGGAAGATAATGACGGGATCTCCCTTATAGAAGGTGGATCGCCATAATTTTTCCTATCAAAATAATATAACTGCTCAAAACTAAGAAAATTTTGGCACCGCTTCCTGTGGGAAAAGTACCTTCCAAAATTTATATCAGTGGGAATATGAAAACTGAAATTGGTCCTCAACTCTGAAGGGTCAAATTTTGCCTAACTCCCTGTAGTAGTAAAAATTTGGGCAGCATCTCTTTTAGAGAAGTAGACTTTCTAGATTTATACTAAGTCAGATAAGAACTCAATACAAGACTCGAGTTTTATCAAGACAAAATGTTTACCAACTCTTTAGATTTGCGGAAATTTCGGCAACACTCCCTCTAAGAAGTATCATCAATCCAAAATTGATAAAAGGTAAATACAAATTTTGAAAGCGATTTCGAATTCCCCACAATGAAATTTTGTCTTACTCCCTCAATTAGTAAAAAATCGGGCGGCACTTCCCCTAGAGAAGAAGGCTTTCGAGATTTGTACTACGCCGAAAACTTAGATACAAGCTGAACTTTGGAAAGCCAAAATTTGACTAGGTTTTTTAGAAATTTTGGCAGCGCTTCCCGTAAAGGAAGTAGTTTTTTTAGATTTATACAAAGCCAAGTAAAATCAATGATCGCAAAAAATGCAAGAATTGAACTAAGTAAAATAAAATGAACTCGGAGAATGCAGGAATTGAACTAACTCTTATAGTTCCGGCGTGTGGCGAGCATCTAAAGCAAATACCTATAAAAGCTAACACTTAAACTAGGTAGAACTCACGCTCAACCACATGCAAATCTATATTACAATGTGTAAGTACTCTCACCGAACCCCAAGTCATTTTCACATAGGATAGTTCATTAAACCCTCATATGATTTATGCCCTCTACCCAACTTCCATGTGGCATGACGCTTGACCATTCAACTTAGAAACAATGGCTAGCATGCCTTATAATATACACGAACAAGTTGCACAACTACTTTTCTCTTCTTTGGGTGTGTGACTGAACCATTCAGCTTAGAAGCAATGCCAGTCGCCCTTAGCCGTTTAAATATCCAAAATTTATTAACTATCCGACTTGTCTTGAAAAGAAATGAAATATGGGCAGGGGTCTGAGTCATTAAGCTTAGAAACAATTGCGAGGTATAGGCCTCGATAAGCCCTACTGGGTCCCTATTTGCAACAGGTCGGCCGCCCTAAGTGAAGGCAGGCCCGACAGACGACAAGAGGCCTATTTTGGACTACTTCGCAACTGGGGAAAATTCAGGCAGTTGCGCAGCGCCAGTTGGTTGAATGCACCCGAGCCCTGACTTCCTTTATCGACTGTATCTAAGTTAGGCCCTGGGCGAGATACGCAACATAGACCCAACTCAGACAATGGGCAGTTGGGCACGGGTAACTGTCGGTGGCCCCGGGCCTGATTCGTTTGGTCTTAGGCTCAGCCTCCTTGGGCCTACCGGAAGCTTCTGGGCAGGGGCCCAGTGCAGCCAGGCTGCAAGCAAGCAGGCTGGCCACTTCCATTTAGGAAAGGGCCAGTCTACACATTTGGCATTCGGGCACTGGCTGCTTTGCTTGCAAGCGCTGCTGCGCTATTGCGTGCCAGGCTCACGTGCTCACGGGCAAGTTGGAAGGAGCAGGCAGCCATAGCCGAGTTGCGCTGCTATATGCTAGATGGGGCGCATGTTGGTCCTTGGGTGCAAGTGGCATCTGTGAGTTGGGGAACGAGGTTGTGAGTGATATAAGAGACATACCTGGTGCTTGACGCGTGCGACATTGGTCGAGGTCTGCCCGTACTTGGGAAGCTGTTGACGTCATCAACGACATTGTAGTATAGGCTAGATAGGATCTGCCATTCGTAGTCTGGGCGCCGAATGCCAGATGGGATATCAACATTTGTTCGTCGTTGATCATGATGAGACTATTCCAGCATTGTAAATTTTGAGGTTTTGGTGTGCTCTTATTTGGTGAAACTCGTGATGCAATTCTGCTTTTGGTTCGAGGTCACGACTATCTGGTCGCATGTGTATGATGCTGTTTGATTGCTGAAGTTCGCGATTGCTCATCTTCCTTGCAATTTGGTATCGGAGCTGTGGTTCGGTGCGCTAATCTGGCACTTATCTTTTGCCTAATGCGGTATATACACGCGGTGTGTACGGTGAGTGACCGTGCCGTGGGACGTGTGTAGTGAGGAGGGCGAAGATAAGTAGGCGACCCAGGTGCAGAGGGGTTCGCTAGGAAGGCTAAGCGGTTATTATTGGGTGTTCGCAGTGTGATGAAAACTATCCGATGTGGTGCTGAGGTGGAACGGTTGTGCAATGCTGGTTGTGCCGAAGCTGTGATTGGTCATCACAATCAACATCGGGTCATCTGGTGAGAATATCTGTGGTTGGGGCCAGATATTTTGAGGTACGTTGCACCTAACCTTATCTACCCTCTTCAACACTTCTTACCGTGAGGATGTGTGTTCTGTCTTGAGAGTCCTCTCATGTGAGGAGTCGTGTGCACTCAACCTTGAGGGTTGTCAATCTTCACGTGGAGCATCTTGAAGGAGAGGGCGGTGTTATTTGATGGGCCCTGGATGAAGCACTGGGTCACGGTCACCATGCCAACCCACCGGGAGTAGAGCATGCATGCTTTGGTGCTTTGTCCTTTGTTTGCCCGTTGCGTTGTAGAGGGGTTCTGAAGGGCAGGCCAGCCCTAGGGGAGAGACGAGACCGGGCGTCTGTAAATAAGCACCGGCGGGGTACCTTCCATTGGCTGTGATCGTCGTTCTGTTTGCGACGGTAAGGAATTCCTGAGGACTTCGGGGGCCGTCCATGAAAACACCTCCTGATCAGCCAATTGGTCGGTGTAAGGCTCGATGCACGTGAGGATAAAGATTGTGCAGGGCTGGCCAGCTCAGCAGAACTGGGGGCACAGGGGTGGGCCGTGTGCACACCTTTTTTGCTCAGGGACGTTGACGATAAGAGACATATAAGAAGAATTGAGCGAGGGGTAGATTCCAGATGATAAGTTCGGGTAAGATCCCATTTTGCAAACAGACCCAACAATTTTATGTTTATTTTCATTAGTTAGATGTACGACCATTAACTTCTGACAGACAACATTAGTTAGAACTGTTTGTTGTTCCTTGTGCTTCTGTTTGCGGACTAGTCAAAGTAAAATAGTTTTCGTTTGTAGGAATCCGAACTTACCTGTTGGACCCAAATGTACATTTTTTGAAAGAACCATTGATTATTACTTTTATTTTATTATAAATCGGTTTGTACATGTCGCTGCGGTAGGCATTGATCGAGTGTCCTAGTGCAGACGGTGTGCAGTTTTGTAGCTTATGAGCGACGGGGAAGTCCCACAGTCACACGATAGGCTCTTGTGATTGGCTAGACGCCCGATTGCCCATTTGGCATTAGGACGAGAGGGCGACAGATACTTGTTCCGCAAGCAGAGAGAGAGGCAGCACTAGTAGAGAAGAGCTAGGGACGTAGAGACAAGTGGAGCACTCACAAGCGAAGCACTCACAAGCCAAGCCGCTACTTCAGCAACCATGGCCACTGCTGCGCAACAAAGTTCTCAGGCTAGTGGTTCAGGTTTTGTGGGGTCAACGGTCGCACAAACCGTGAGTCAGTCCACTGGCGCCGTGGTAAGCGAGCGATTAGTGTTGACTCTCGAGGAGGTCGTCATACAGTGAGCTGCTGATCCCGAGGCACAACTACAGAAGGCTTTAGGAAAGATTAATGCCGAAAAAGAAAGAATGATTAGAAGAAGAGCCAGGTAGCAGTGGCGAGAAGCGAGCATTAGCGAGTTAGAGGAGATGGACCCAGCGAAGTTGGATGAAGTGAGGACCCTGAGGTCGGTCTTGCTAGTAGTAGAGATGCAAAGATCAACAGACGACGGCGATCTTACAAGACATCCAGCAAAGTCTGGCCGTGTTGGTCGGGCGAGTGCAGGCGACACCATCACTGACCAAGCTTTGGTGTCTAGCCCGTTGTACATCCTCCTTTTGTCCCACCGGTGACTGGGTTATCCCTATATACCGCTCTAGCATCGGTTCAGCCTGTCTCCCTGGGTATGCCTTTAACAGGCGGGTTCTCAGCAGGTCTTAGTTTGCAGGTTTCTGTACAGACAGTGTTTTCCCAACCTCTGTCTCAGGTTGCCGTAAGCGGGCAGCCTGTTGTCTCGCATCGTGCACAGCCGCAGTGTTCGCAGCCTGAGCAGATAGTGCAGCAACCTGCACCACAAGGTCCACAGTCCGGAATGGTGCAGGTACCAGGACAAAGTCAGTGGGTTCCAAAGATGACCATCGCCGCTCCTAAACCCTTTACAGGGGATAAGAGGGGCGAAGACCTCGACACATGGTTGAGGGCAGTGCCAGTCTATGTTAGGTGCAAACTTACCTTGCTGCACGAGGAAGTGCTTGTGGCTGCCTCCTATCTAGAGGGGAGTGCAGCAAGATGGTTGAGTGGTTTAGTGCAGCTCCAGGGGTATCGTCATGACTTTCACGCTTGGGCAGTCACCCAGAAATTGAATGACTTCCTCAAGTTGGTGGAAGATAGGTGGCATGATCCGCAGGAGGCCCAAAAGGCTATTGATGCGATCTTGACACTGCACACGAGGCAGTTTAAGTCAGTGAGAGAGGGCACTGACGCTGTAGAACGTCTAATCTGTGTCCCTGGGGTTCGCTATGACCCCGAGGTTTTACTCACCTCTTACCTGAGATGTTTACCTATGCCTCTCAGGAACCAGTTGGCAGATGAGGCCAACATCAACATGCACAACTTCTCGTCGTTTAGCAAGAAGGCCCTAGACCTGGAAGCAAAGATAGGGCATGGTCAGACACCCACGACGGATGGTAGGAAAAAGACAGTGCCTCGCAATTGGAAAGCGAAGGGACGCATTATGTTCATCCACAACGATGGTTCTACCATCAAGTTGGACGACGAGTTCCAGGCGGGAGAGGTTCAGAGGCGGGCAGCGTAGAAGCTTCAGGGGCTGGAGTAGTCGTTGTCGTAGCCCAGAAAGGTAAGGCGACCGGTAGGCACCGTGGAGTTGACCCCAATGCTCCATGGGAGAAAGCGGGTCTTAGTGAGGATGTGTGGAGAGACCGGTACACTCGGCAAGCTTGCATTCGTTGTGGCCAATATGGCCATAACCAATTCAAGTGTCGTAACAAAAAGGTGACCGAGAAGATCCCGCCTACAATGGGGCAATTGTTGGGATCCTGCGCTCCCGTTGGTAGCAATGTGGCCAGCAGTTTTGGCACCGCTCCAGGAAACGCGTAGGGCCGATAGGAATGTTAGTTGTTCGTGCTAGGGTCGAGGTGGTGGACACACCCTCACCATCTCGAGAGATGGCCCAAGCTACTGACTCCATCGTCGTCCGGCAAACACATTCAGACCCATCGAGTTGAATCCTTAGAGGAGCTAGAGGAGTGGTCTAGATCAGACCCACTAGCTTCTTGGACGGCATTGGTCAAAGCCCCTTAGGGAGAGATGTTCGTTGGCGAGGTGGTCATCGGCGGCCGCAAGGCCGGGGCCTATTATGACACTTGCTCGACTAGGAAGTTTATTAGACGCGCGTGCATTGAGAGGCTGTGCTTACAGGGGCGAGTGCAACGCCTGAGTCGACCTGTGGAGTCAACCTGTGCCAACAAACTGCGCATGGTAGTCAACGACTACCTTCAGGATGTTGAGTGTTGTTTCCTGTACGCGGGAGGGGAATTGAGACATCGTATCTCATTCCTAGTGAGCAATGATCTCCCTATGGATATCTTGTTAGGTATGTACTACCTCTCCGTAGCACAACCCCAATTTGACTTGGACCGAAAAGTGGTCAAACACACTTTGCCAGGTGGAGGGACCGCCAGATTACGTAAGTTCAAAGCTAGTAGTCTGATTGAGTCCTATGGATGCATGTGTGCGGTTGCGTTCTATAATTATTATAAGCAAAATCTGAAGGAGGGTATGTATCTAGTTTATGTCTCTGCAGCAGGCGAGCAAGTGAAAATGTCGCCGGAGATAGAGGGAGTAGTCGACAAGTACCGTGATCTATTTGAAGAGCCTACAAGGGTTGTTGAGAGGGAGGTCGTCCACATGATAGAGATTATCCCAGGGTCTAGCATCCCAAAGGGTAGGATCTATTGGATGTCTCAAGGCAAGCTTGATGAGCTTCGCCGGCAACTCTCGTAGAGAAGGGGTGGATGCGGTCGAGTGTTTCTCCTTATGGATCTCCAGTCCTATTCGTACCGAAGAAGGGGGAACATTGAGGATGTGCATTGACTATAGGGGCCTCAATGCCATCACTATTAAGAATAGAGACCCCCTACCGCGCATCGACGATTTGCTAGATAGAGTGCATGGGTGTCGGTACTTCAGTAAGATAGATCTGAAGTACGGGTACCATCAGATTGCAATCCGGTCCAAGGATCAACAGAAAACCGCCGATCAGACGAGCTGGTCTGTACGAGTTTGTGGTGATGCCTTTTGGCCTTTGCAATGCTCCTGGCACCTTTCAGCACGCTATGAATTGGATCTTTCACGACTACTTGGGTAAGTTTGTCATCGTGTACCTCGATGACATACTTATTTTTAGTAGGACTGTCGAGGAGCATGTAGCGCACTTAGACAAAGTCCTCAGTCTCCTTCGGCAGCACAAGTTCAAGATCAATGGGGAGAAATGTGAGTTTGGTCGCACTCGCATCTTATACTTGGGTCATGAGATTTCCGCGGAAGGCTTGAAGCCCGATGATGAGAAGGTGGCCAGCATTAGTGACTGGCCGCGTCATCAGTCTGTGACTGAGATGAGGTCCTTCTTAGGGATGACCGACTACTATCACAATTTTGTGGAGAATTATAGCATAATTGTCGCCCCTTTGACGGATCTGACTCCCCTTGATACCCCATGGGAGTGGACAGACAGGTGCGAGGCTGCTTTTAGACATCTGAATCATGCATTGACGCATCATGGGGTCTTGAAACTTCCTGATCCTGACAAGCCTTTCATTGTAACCACGGATGCCAGCCAATATGGCATTGGTGTTGTGCTAGCACAGTAGGAGGGGCCAAAGTTGAGGCCAGTTGAGTACATGTCCAAAAAGATGCCCTCTCATAAGTTGGCTAAGTCCACCTATGAGGAGGAGGTCTATGCGATTTACAAGGCACTGACCCATTGGAGACGTTATCTCCTTGGGAAGTTCTTCATCGTCAGGACTGATCATCAGACCTTGAAGTGGATGAGAACCCATCCAGTGCTCTCTGATGCGTTGAAACATTGGATTGAAGTTATTGAGTATTATGACTTCGAACCCAGTACATCACAGGAGAGTACAATAGAGTTGCTGATGCGCTGTCATGTAGGCCAGACTTCCTTTGTGTGCTGATCATTGAGTTTGGGCTTGCGGACGATGTTACTCATTCTGTGGTGGAAACCTACCGGGAGGATCCATTTATATATGAGATCACTCGCAAACTCGAGGCGAAGGACGAAGTGACTTTTGTTGAGTTTGAGTTGGTCAACGGCTTGTTGTTCCTCAAGAAGGCTGGGAATAAACGTTTACGTGTGCCAAATAGGGAGTCTTTGCGCAATTTATTTTTAGGAGAGTGTCATGACGCCACGGACCATTTTGGTTTCAAGAAGATTGCAACCAATTTGTTGCAGCGGTTCTGGTGGCCCATGATGATGAGAGACGCGAATCTGTACGTGGAAACTTGTCAGGTCTGTCAGAGGGACAAGCCACGTACACAGGCTCCTCTTGGGCTTTTGAAGCCCCTTCCGATTTCGGAAAGGCCAGGCGAAAGCCTGTCCATGGACTGCATGGATACGCTGGTCACCAGGAAGAGTGGTATGCGGTACGTCTATATCATCGTGGATAGACTTAGTAAGTACGCTAGGTTAGTCGCAATGCCTGCAACAATTAAGACCGAATGTGTAATTAAGTTGTTCAAAGAGAACTGGGTTAGAGATTTTGGACTGCCAAAATCTATAGCCAGTGACTGTCATGTGCGATTCACAAGTGAACTTGGAAAGCCGCAGCTGCAGAATAGGGAACGCAGCTGCTGATGACATCAGGAAACCATCCCAGGGCAAATGGGCAAGCAGAAGCGCTGTACAACACCTGCTGAGGCATTACATCAAGCCAAACCAGGTAGACTGGGATGAGAAACTTGCTCTCATCGCTAGCCTGTACAACAATGCGGTGCACGGTGGAACGGGCGTGAGCCCAAATAGTCTGCTATTAACCTTTAAGCCTAGACTGCCCTTGGATTTCTTACTACCTAAGAACCAGCCCTCTGTTGCACCATGGACTTTAGAGTTTGCTTATCGATATGAGCAGCTGATGCAGCAGGCTGTTGAGCAGATGTACAAGGCAAAGGCGGCGATGATAGAGTATGAGAACAAACGCCACCGCCCATCCACATTTCAGGTAGGAGAGAGAGTTTGGTCAAGTCCTCAGAACTGGGACAGGAGCACGGGATCTCCCGCAAGCTCATGCGGCAGTACTTTGGGCCATGGGAGATCCTAGATGTTGTCGGGAATGAACCGGATGGGCCGTCTTATGTTATTCGCATCCCTGGTCACTTACTTACTTACCCTGTTTTTCGTGCCTCTAAGCTTGCACCGCTCAGAGAGACTGATTAGTTTCCCTCTCGTCGCTCTAGGCTGCCCCCAACCATGGATGGAGAGGTCGACATTGATGAAATCGTGGATCACAGAGAGATGCGAGTTCCAAGACCGATCGGTAGGGGACGTCCTCCAAAATCGAAGCTGCAGTACCGAGTTTGGTTCAAACATCACTGATCCAAAGGAGGAAAGGTGGTTCACAAGGGAGGAACTGATGCAAACCGCTCCACAGGTTGTCGCTCACTATGAGAACTCTCTGCAGAAAGAAGAGCGCCAAATTATCGAAGATTGAACTTCTCAGAGGACTAGCGAAGTATGGAGGAGGGAATGCGAGGCATAGGCCTCGATAAGCCCTACTGGGCCCCTATTTGCAACGGGTCGGCCGCCCTAAGTGAAGGCAGGCCCAACAGACGACAAGAGGCCTATTTTGGACTACTTCGCAACTGGGGAAAATTCAGGCAGTTGCGCAGCGCCAGTTGGCTGAATGCACCAGGCCCTGGCTTCCTTTATCTACTGTATCTAAGTCAAGGGGGGCGAGATACGCAACATAGACCCAACTCAGACAGTGGGCAGCTGGGCACGGGTAAATGTCGGTGGCCCTGGGCCTGATTCGTTTGGTCTGAGGCTCAACCTCCCTGGGCCTACCGGAAGCTTCTGGGCAGGGGCCCAGCGCAGCCAGGCTGCAAGCAAGCAGGCTGGCCACTTCCATTTAGGAAAGGGCCAGCCTACGCATTTGGCATTCGGGCACTGGCTTCTTTGCGCGCAAGCGTTGCTGCGCTATCGCCTGCAAGGCTCACGCGCTCACGGGCGAGCTGGAAGGAGCAGGCAGCCATAGCCGAGCTGCGCTGGTGTATGCTGGATGGGGCGCATGTTGGTCCTTCGGTCCAAGTGGCATCTGTGAGTTGGGGAACGAGGTTGTGAGTGATACGAGAGACATACCCGGTGCTTGACGCGTGCGGCATTGGTTGAGGTTTGCTCGTACTTGGGAAGCTGTTGACGTCATCATCGACATTGTAGTATGGGCTAGATAGGATCTGCCAGTTGCAGTTCGGGCGTCGAGCGCCAGATAGGATATCAACATTGGTTCTTCGTTGATGATGATGAGACTATTATAGCATTGCCAATTATGAGCTTTTGGTGTGCTCTTATTTGGTGAAACTCATGATGAAATTCTGCTCTCCTTGCACAATGTTCAGCTTGCCCATATTACTTCCCACTCTTTACTTCCCCTTCTTTTCTTAGTGATATGGCTTAACGTTGGATCATTCAACTTAGAAACAATGCCCAACTGCCTCTTCACATGCAAATATACATAAAGTACTTCTAGTTATACTCAATTTACATTTGTGAGTGGTTTCAGGCTAAACTATTTAGCTTAAAAACAATGCTTACCCTTCCACAAAATCCTGCCTCGAAATGAAATAGGAGATTGAACTTCCAACTTAAAAACAATGTTCAGTCCGTAAGAAGTCACTAAAAGCAAGAACTTGGGCTGTTCAACCTAACCTAAGTTAGAAACCCTAAAAGAAACAAACAAACCAAGCCATTTAGCTTAAAAACAATGCTTGGTCTCGAAAATCAGCTAGACAAGCCTTCAGAAATAAACACAGCAACCAGGCCATTCAACTTATAAACAATGCCCGGTCCTTCAGAAAACAGCCAATAAACATATCATTGAGCCTTTCAGCTTAGACACAATGCAAGCCTTTAAGACCGAGTGAAACGCATGCAAAAATGCCCTGCTCCCACCTTCTCCCAGCTCATCCCTTAATCTGCTTTCGGTCAAAATAAGATGAAACTTGAGATTTACACATGCATTCCTTCCATTCAGTTTGATTGAGTCCTTAAAAGAAAACAAAGTCATAAGGGAACACATGCATATCTCTCAATCAGAGGAGAAAGCTATAGTTATAAGGGTATAGTAGGTTCACACAAGTAAGAGGAGATATACCTGATAGTCCCTGCCTCCAGAGCCTCGCCTAGGTCCAGACAGAGCTCCCACAATCGGTGGGGCGAACCTCCCACAAAGGCCTTGGCACGGATTACGGGTTGCAATCCCGCTTGCCGCCTTCCTCTTAGAACCAACAGACTAGATTGAGAATAAGAAGGGCAAAAGGAGAAGGTGCACTTAGACTCGCGTGAGAGGGCCGTGAATCCGTCAGACGCTTGTGGGCCACGCAATGGTGGTCAATGATTGTAGCAGAGTGGTCGAACAATAGAAGGGTCAACTCGCGTCCAAACGCAGAACAGCAGCACTGAGATGAATCTCCAAACCGCAACAATAATCTGCTTGCGGATGCTGATCACTCCCTTAAACCACAACACCTCCCCTCGGGAACAAACTGCGCCGCTATGCAGCCTAAAAAGGCTGCACTTGCAGTGGTCTAGCGCAACCACTATACCCCGTCCAGCAGCAACTCTACTCAGCAGTCTCTTTGTGTCGTCATATCGTCCGCTGGGTTGACAACGACTTATGGTGGGAATGCCACAGTAGAAGGCAACAACGGTCTAAGGTCCTCGGACCTAGGAACCACTGTAGTACAACACAACGCCTCCGAAACGGGAGAAGAGATGGGTTGGCGAGATGTTGCTAGGCCCTCGACCCGCCGTTGAATGCAAAATCCCAAACCGCAGTGTGACAAGGAGAGCTAGATGGTCAAAGTTGCCCATAAGTAGAACATGTATCGATACGATATCAACGGTGAACCAAAATTGTTGACTCAATGGCAATTCAACCCGATGTTGTGGTCAGCCGCAACTAAAGCACGCGCATGAAGACCACCATTCCTACCACAACACAAAATATGACAACACTACTTGCGAACCCTCAGCAATAACCCTTTGCGAACTATGACCGCAGCCCGTTTGAACAATTAGCAGCCATGGCCCGAAAACATAGCAGCGGTGCCTTGGACACACAACTGCAATTGTGGCGGAGAGTATAGTCACCACAACGGTTGGATCATAGTCCGTCTAAGCCCGCTGGATGTGTATCAGGGCCTCCCTCTGTGTAGGCATGGCTCGCTCGCACTCGCTAGGTCTCGAATGCAAAATCCCAAACCGCAGCGTCACAAGGAGAGCTAGATGGTTAGAGTTGCCCATAAGCAGAACATGTATCGATACGATATCAACGGCGAACCGGAAATGTTAGACTCAGTGAAAATTCAACCCGCTGTTGCAGTCAGCTGCAACTAAAGCGCAAGGCATGCATCAAAATTCTTCTCATCAGCCTCTGCCTTGCTCCCTTCTTCCTCGGAAAAGGAGAACGAATCTTCCGCTAGAACAGGGAAAAATAGATCATGTAGATGATAAATCGAGTCTTCTTCGAGGCGGATGAATTAGGACTTTGAATACGGCCTTAGTCTTGAGAACTCGGCTGTCGGCTAGAAAAAGGGAAGATTGCCAGTAACGGCTTTGTCACGACAGGCACCACATTCGTACGGATCCTGAAGCCGAGCAACACGACCATTCGGGTTGTGTCATTAAGCAGCTGCCTGTGACAACTGGCCTCGCGCCCCCTGCTTATCGCAAGTGCAACCTGCAAATGTATCTTCCCGCAAAAACACAGAGCGATGCATTCACAACTTTGCTAGCGCTTAGCCCTCACTATTAACAACGACCATTTGAGATCTTCGCTTGCAATTTCAACACACTCAAACTACTTCACAATGCCTCAAGACTTACACCAATCTGTACCATCACTCAATTCCACTCAGATGCGAGTGAGATCTTCCCCCCTTCCCTACACTATTAAAATCGCTAACGTGACAATCTAAAATTCGGGCCGTCGCCGGTCCTACCGCCCCACGACCCAGATCGACCTAACCATGTAACAAATCTGCCATCTAGGCCGTCGGGTCCTACCAGACCGACGACCTGGATAGATGCGGTCTTAAGA